CAATAAGATCTATTTCATTCCATGCCGGCTTTAGTCTAGTTTAGGCTTGTGATACTGACTCCTGTTTAACTGAATCCAGCTCCATACGTGTAGAAGACAGCTGGTCTTCTATTTTCAGCATGTCACTTTCATGAAATGAGGACAGTTCACGAATCTTCCGATCTTTCTCCACAGATTCCTAACCGGCACATACAAAAGTATATAAGCACCAACACTGAGATATACATATATATGGGCAAGTGGATCATTATTTGACTCATGAAACAGGCATGTGGAACCATTTAAGGACAGCTGTAGATGATTCTGGATGTCCTGCTCACCTGAATGAGGCTAAGGCTGGTATCTGTGGAGACAGATGAAGCTGCAATGGTGAAGCAAGAGCCAAGCCATGGTAAAAGGCGAGATTTTAGTGTGTCGACCCCTGAATAATGTCCCCCTGAAGAAGAACAAGGACATAGAATCTGCTTGAACATTAATGTTGAGCTGTCAGCTAGAGGGAATGGTTATGGTAGTTGCTAGAGCTAAATGAGACAAAATATTGTACATAAATACTGAAAGTAAATAGAGGACTGAATCTGTTTGTTACCCTCTTGTGCTGTAAGATTGAGTATGGTGAACAATTGACCCTGAATTTTAGAGGTGAGCTCCACCAGCTCACAGCACCTATTCAGGTTCTGGTCACAAGAGAACACCTGAGAGAAAATATGACCAAATGATGTTATGAGATAAGAAGACATAGCTCGATACCGATATGCAACATCGGGTATAACAGCGAGAAGTTAAGCTGCACCTGTGAAATACCCCTGAACTGCAAAAATGTTCCTGCTTAGGCAGCATGAAAACAATGCATTTAGGGTTTTTTGTTGTTGTTGTTTTGGCATTGCATTAACTCTTTTTTACTTATTTAACTGTGTTAATATTGTGACTAAATTTCTCTTGAATTTGAGACACCAAAAAGACGTTGTTTTGACACGCAAAAATAGATTACTCTAATTCAGAACCTGAAAAACCTTTATCACAGACATTTTTGAAGAATAATTTAAAAGATTAGAAGAATGACCCATAAGTGTGCTTCGAATTTCTCATTTCAAATAATTTGGGAAGACTATAGGCTGCTGTAAATTCCACTTAATAAGAAAATAGCAAAAACTCTTGAGTTCCTCTTACTGATCTATATAGAGAATATTGTTATTATATTGTAATTATATAGATCAGTGGTTCCTCCATTCAAAAACACAAATCTAACGGGAGCCGACGGGAGCGCGCACGTCACGCCTATCAGAACTGCCCAGGAATGGAGTCACCGTTGTCCTGACAACGAGCGTCCATAGAAACCAAACTTTGCTGCAAAAGCAAAATGCAATAAAGCAAATTTTGCTCATGTCCAATGTTACATAGAAGCACCTTGAGGATATAAATACAGGATGCTAGGCTGACCGTCTAACAACTTTAGGTTGCAGTGCATACAAATACATTTTAAATATATGCATTTATAGTTTATATGCATTTAGTGACACGATTCAGTCCAGACGGAATCTCAAATATTCCAATCTGGAACCAGTAACTCCTGAATGCACAATATCACACATAACTTACGTGCCTAAAGAATTCAAAGCCTGGCAACTATTGTAAACTAACGTTAGGCTACTCTAGTCTAGCGGTTAACGTTACGTCATCTGCAGACTATATGCACTTTTAAGTAATGATGATGACTTACATGGTAGTCTTTGTACCAAGCTTCCAGTTTGTCTTGCAAAACACTGTACGGTGATGAGTTCACCAGTCTTCGTAAAGTGTCAGCCATAGCTGCAGTCTGCTGCTGTAATCCTGCTTCAGGACGTCCCAGTGTACTTAATCCAGCAGCGCGTGTGCGCGCTTTTGTTTTTATACTGCTTGTAAAAGCCCACCATTCACAACATTGACTTTCAGCGAAACCATGGACGCGCTTTTAGTTGTAGCAACGGTTTGCTAGACATCTCAGTTTGAGGAAATATTGCTGTATAAGGACAAGCTATGGACAGCCCGAACCATATGAGCTTTTTTTTTTAACACGGCCCCTATTATGTTACAGAGTCTCTCTGAAGTTGCAGCTCAGATCTCAGTGATCTGTTGAGTGGGTGTCATGTCAAGTGCGGGAAGTTCTTTTTTTACATTCTCTTGGAGAACAGGTGTAATATGCCTTAATTGATTTTCCGTTATTTAACGTTATACCACGTGACATAATACACGCAATTAAATAAAAATTATTTATTTTAAACAATGCATTGCAGCTATTGATACAATTATCCAGCAACTGTGATCTAGTAACATAAGGGGTGACACACAAAACATAGCCCTACATAATAATAATAATAATAATAATAATATAAAAAACACCTCAATGTAGCTTACACATAACTAAAATCTTAAAAATTACTTAAAACAATGCAAATCTTTACTACAAAACTTTTAAGAATATACAGTAAATATATTTTCTTATAATTAAAATAGTTTGTACTTTAAAAAATTACATATGTAAAATTGCATACAGGGCAAATGCAGTTTAAGTTTGATTGTTGTGCTCAGTGGGTTTACACTTTAAGAGCATAACAATGACCTTTAATAAAAGAGATATTAAAGAGATAGTATTTCTTTAAATGATAAAATAGTTTTGGTTGATGCAATATGACACTGGAGGGTGTGGCCACACCTCAAAGGAGGACTGTGGCTGTTGCGAAGTCCCTCCCTCGAGTCTCGCCTTCTCCACCCCCCTCACCAAAGCGCAACCACCGGCCACGTCGTGTCTGATGATGAGGCGGTAGGACCTGCCCATAGGAGACAGCTGTTCCCTTCTGGCTTTGGATAGTGAGGATTGGTTTAGGTCTCCTCTCCCAGGCCATTGACCGACTCGGGCTCAAGTGGTCACCGCCCGAGGAGCCCGCGTCCAACAGACTCGATGGCTGCTTCCTTTATCACCGCCGTCAAGCGCCCTCAGCTAAGCCTGTGCCCTTCCTCCCAGCTTCACTCAGAGCTTACTAAATTGTGGACTGCACCTTTCTCCGAAAGGCTCCACTCTTCTGTCTCCGCGAGAAGGGATACAGCTCTATTCCCAAGGTTGAGGAAGCGGTTGCTGTGCACCTTTGCTCACCCTCCACGAGATGACGCTCAAAGTCTGCCCTACCATCTAAAGCCTGCAGGACCAGGTCTGCTCTTGTCGGTCGCGCCTACGCCACCGCTGGACAAGCAGCTTCCACCTTGAACTCGATGGCTGTTCTGCAGATCCTACAAGCCGATCTCCTCCATGAATGGGACGAGGCCGGACCCAGCTGCCATTACGGACCTGAGAAGCGCGACAGATCTCTCCCTTCATGCTACCAAGTCTGCAGCTCAGGCCCTAGGAAGATGCATGGCCTCGCTGACGGTTACAGAGAGGCACCTCTGGTTGACGCTGGCTGACATGAGAGAGTCTGAGCGATCTGTCTTTCTCGACGCACCACTCTCCTACACTGTTCTCTTTGGCCCAGCGGTGAGCAGGATCGTCAAAGGCTTTTCTGAGGTACATAAAGCCACACAGCCCATGAACTTGCTCCTGCCTCGTCACGCTAGCTCCGCTGCAGGCCGCCCACGTGACCAGCCGCCAGCACGAGCCACTACACCGTGCCCAGCTCAGCTCAGACAGTCCAGCCAGTCTTTGCTATGAGGGGGCGGCCGCCCCAGATTGCTATTGGCCAACCACCACAGACAACCTAGTAATGGATACGTTCCTAAAGTGATTGGCACTCCATTCAGAGAACAGGTCATTTCCCTAGGAGCCTGACGAGTTTCAGCAGATTCATTTTTGTTTTGTTTTGTGTATTATATTTTTTGTTTTGAGTTTGTGTTGGAGTCTGTGTTGTGCTGGAGGCAGGAGTTTTTTGGTGTTATCAGACTCATGTCGTTAGCTACAGTGCCGTCGCTTAGACTGTATATAAAAGGAGAGAGGCTCAGGAGCACGCATGCACGTCACATCCGATGGATTTCGCAGAAAATCTGACCCGGAGACTTCACATAGAAATAGGAATACTGGCCTTCAGAGGTAATAGCAAAACCCGACAAGTGGATCATTGTAATGTGTGATTACAACCCCTTCACGCACAGGCAATAAAAACAGGATTTATTTTAGAAGAAAAGTTACATATAGCACCTTTAAGGATAATTTTTGGCTTCAGTATCTCAAGAAGATAAATCTGTCCCGTAGCCTAAGCTAAACTTACGCAATACTTGTTCCCTCATCTAGAGAGAACGGAGGTTACATTAGGTAACCGATTCGTTTTGTTTGTTACTTCAGTAAGGGAATAAAATGCAAAGAATACAATTTTTAAAATCTGTGTTTTTTTGCTTTTTTGTTTTCTAATATTGCTCGTCCACTTTTGGCATGCATCTTAAAATACAGACACAATATAAATTCAAGTTCATAAGAAATCATATGCAGAAAAACATTTTGCAATACCATTTTACTCATAATCAATTATTCAAATTTTGCCTATTTGTTGTCGCACGAGAGTTCATTTTTATACAAATTCTTATTTCTGAATATTCTGATTTCATAAAATTTCAGTCAGGGATGGCCCACTTTACCTGAAAATAATTTTGTCTGGGCTGCATGATCTCAAAATGTTATACCTTGCAAATAACACATTATATTTGTATTCAAATTGAAATATTATAGCTGAACCTTATAGTAAACAAGAGTAATAAAGAAAAGAAAAAAAAACATCTTTGTAGCCTATCTAAATTACACGTTTAACAAAGAGTGACCCACTTTACATGCATTTACCCTATTTGTCTTTTAAAATATTTAGGGTATAATTTTCACATTAAAATGTTTACTGTAGTTTTTCTGTTAATATTTTATAACTGGGAAACGAAATGAAAGAATAAAATAAATAATAGTCAAGTTATAACAGGTTCTCTGTAGCATTAACATTGAACGGGGGAAAATGTCTTTATTTGTACTTTCCTTTTACGGCGTGTCTGAGATTCACAACTGGCTCTTTATAGCGGAGGAACAAACCACTAACAATTCGTAGCTGCTCCCTTAAAAGTAAGTCATTCCCTCTTCAAACTTGGTCTGTGTTTCTGGAATTACATTATATAAGATAGATATGTTTGAAGTGTATATTTCACGTGAAAGTTTGGCCATTTGTGATTATTGTTTGTATAACGGTTCTCTCGCGGTGGTTTCTCCTCAGGCTGTGTGAAGCTGTCAGTGCAGTCTGTGCGTTCAGAGAGGGAGGGTCAACATGGCGTCGGAGCAGGTCTGTTTTCAATGTGAAATGTAAATGTTTTCTCCGTTGTGATGCTTTTCAAGCGATTTTCGGTGTTAACACGAGTCGTGTATATTAACTTCAAACCTCAAACAATGTCAATAGTTTTGTATGTGAATGGGTAACGATCATCACCGCAATTTATGTCCGGATCTTTCATGGAAAAAATTACTCATTATTGCAGTGTTACATTTGCACTCGTTATACAGAAAGATGATACTTTGGTGCTTGAAAATAAAACCTCTGTCTAAAAACAAACACTAATTTATTACCGGAACGGGTTGCGTGTCATTTATTTTTAGGCATACAGACGAACTCATACTGCATTCCTGAGACTGCAACACAGGTTTCTTATTTAGCTATTACACTGAAAGTGTTTATTGTTGATTCATTCTAAAAGAAGATATATGGATGAAATATTGCAGAACTATGCCACTTCATCTCTTCAGTTCACTATTATTCAATGTAGGATGTAATTATTTGCATATTCCCAAATCAGACCACCACATAACTCGCGTGATCAGTTGTCACTATTTAGTACGCTATTCAAAATAATGCATGCTAAATATTTCAAAAAGGAAGATTGAATTATATATTTTCTTAAATATTTCTCTATATTATACAGTGGTATTTCGGCATTTAAAGAACATTGCACTGCATAATTATATAACTAAATAATAAAATATTAAACTGAAATGGTATTTAAATATTTTAAACTAAAGATAGTTTAATAACAAAAATACATTTGATAGATTTAAAATGATACAAATAGATATAATGTTATTATATAAAAGAATAAGATGTATATTAATATAGTGTTATGTAATAGGTATAATGTTCAAATTAAGAAAAGCGTTTTGATACTTTGTGGCTGTCAAACATTAGTGAGTGATGAACTACACCATTGACTATTCTTTAAGGACACCTGTGCAAACTCAAATCCACTAAAAATTAGCTTCAACCAGTTGTTTGAAAGTAAACGGAAAAGGTTTTTTATGCATTATATACATTGAGGCTTAAGTATTTTTGGTTCTTCTATAAAAATGTTTACACCCGACCCAAACTCATCAGCACTGACAGCAATCTATGTAAGTAAAGCTGAATATTGAAGAGGTTCTTGTTGATGTGAAATTTAATGGCAGAACACTTGTAGCAATAATGGATTGTCTATTTTAAATGTGCAGTAACATACAATAATTGTAACATCTAGTCATCCTTTTTTCTTTATATCCACAGGAAATCTCAAATGCCCCAGTGAAGAAATCTATGAGGGAGAAGGCTATCGAGCGCAGATCAGCTAATAAAGAGCACAACAGTAATTTTAAGGCTGGATATGTTCCAATTGAAGAGGAGCGACTCCACAAGACAGGACTGAGGGGTCGCAAGGGCATTATTGCCATTGGCATAGTCATCCTACTCTTTCTGCTTGCGCTCATTAATCTCATTGTGAGTTTATCAGTTGTTTGTTGTGCCTGTGTGATATTAGAAATATGAAAGGATATAATTAAAAACTAGCATATAATTGTTTTTTAGCAGAGATTCAATTAATTGATCAAAAGTGACAGCAAAGACATTTATGATGTTACAAAATTTGCATTTCAAATAAATGCTGTTTTGAGCCTTCTATTCATCAAAGAATCCAGGGGGGAAATCAGTCACAGTTTCCACAAAAATGTTAAAGGAGAACTCCGGCGCAAAATGAACCTTTGGTCTAATAAAACATCGGTACATAGTCAACCGTTCTCTGGGATTTGTTTTTATGATAATCAAATGTAAAGAGTTTTATCTCTAAAAACTCTTTAGCGTTTAATGCTAGTAATGGGGGCATGTACTAAGTAAAAAGAAATCGCTAGTTTATACCACTAACAAGGCGCAAAATAGCCCCACACTAACACAGTAACAAAATGAGGGTCCATACATGCAAAACGAAGCATTGAGAACTTTGTAAGTGTACAGACCGTTTAATAAGAAGATACTTTATAAAGACAGTTCACTTCGTGTATACAGACAGGAGCCATCTTGGAAAACAGTCACGACAAGTCAAACCACGAACGTCGTGCTGAGTGAGTTGAACTGTATGAAGTTCTGCGAACTTCTGAACTGTATGAACGGCGTTCGGGGATCGACTTATCGAGACCATTTTTTCTAAGATGGCTCCTCTCTGAGAACGATTGACTAGGTACCAATGTTTTATTAGACCAAAGGTTCATTTTGCGCCGGAGTTCTCCTTTAAGCAGCACAACTGTTTGCAACATTGATGATAAAAAAATGCACTTTAGAAATACTGAAGACTTTGTCATCCCATTTAAAAGTTATTTTAAATTGTAATAATATTCCACAATCTAAAAATTCTCAGTTTTGAATAAATGCGGCCTTGTGAGTAAGTGAGTCACTTTGTGACTTCTTTCAAAACGACTTCAGTTACATCTCTACTACTCGCTTGAATACAGAGACACTCATACATTATCACTGTCTGTCTTTTATAGATAACTCTAGTCATATGGACAGTTATACGGATAGGTCCGGGAGGTTGTGAAAGTATGGAGTTTCACGAGAGCGGCCTGCTACGCTTCAAACAGAAGGCCGATATGGGTGTGGTTCACCCGCTGCACAAGAGCACAGTGGGCGGCAGGAAGGACCAGGACCTCGTCATTACTGGCAACAATAACCCAGTCAGTCAGCATAGTATCTGACTTTCTCTTGCAAATCTGTATCCTCTGAGTGATTATATGAGAATCTGTATTAATTTAGGGGTTTTATGCGTGTAACAGGTGGTCTTCCAGCAAGGCAACACTAAGCTGAGCGTAGAGGAAGATAAAACGTCTATCATCAGCGACTTGGGCATCTCCTTCACTGACCCCCGCACCCAGACGACGTTCTTTAGCACTGATTTTGACAACCATGAGTTCCACCTGCCCAAAGAGGTCAAGATTCTAAATGTGAAGAAAGCTTCTACTGAGAGAGTAAGCAACTGTACTCATAGTCATGACTCATAGGCTTATGAAACCTGAATAAGTGAGTTCATTTGAAACAAGTAGATGTACCTAATCACACTGCATACGACACAGGACAAATCTTAAAGCCTTGATGTTAGATTTATGATCGTCTTAGAGGTGTGTTTGTACAGTGACTCAGTGCCATACTTTGCAGATCACCAGCAATGCATCATCTGACCTCACTATCAAAGGAGACGGTAAGGCCATTATTCGTGGCAATGAGGGAGTTTACATCATGGGCAAAACTGTGGAGTTCACCATGGGTGGGGACATCGAGCTGAAAGCGGTAAATATTGTAAATTGTCATTCCAATTGAAAGTAACTTGTCTTTTTAAATATATTTTAAAATGTAATTTATTCCTGTGATGGCAAAGTTGAGTTTTCAGCATTTACAATTACTTCTTCAGTGTCACATGATCCTTCAGGAATCATTCTAATGCTGATTTGGTGCTCGAGAAACATTTCTTATTATTATCAGTTGAAACCAGTTGAGCTGCTTACTGACCCCAAACTTTTGAAAAGGATCGTAATTATGAATCTGAACATATAGTATGAGTTGTATGAATGTTTTTTCTGTTTTGTTTGCAGGAAAACAGCATTATTCTAAATGGCTCAGTGATGTTCAGTCCTTCACGTATACCAAACTCCTCTCTGGGGGGAGACTTGTACTTCAATGAGGGGTTGGAGAGGTACAAACTTTGCATGTGTGCAGATGGGACACTGTTCAGAGTGCAGGTCAAATACCCCAACATGGGCTGCCAAACGTCCGACAATCCCTGTGGAGCAGCACACTGATGAAAGTGAGATGAATACCACTGGAATACACATGCTCATCAACGTTTTCAAATGAAACATGGCATTTCGGTTGAAGATGTAAAGATGGGTGTTCTTTTTTTTTTTTAACTGGACAATAATTAGCTTATAATATTAGTTTACATATGCAATATACAAAAAAATTCACACTATCCGCCCTCACACTTCCACCAACCAGGACAGTTTCCACTACATGCCCACTCAACTTTATTGGAGGTCTAAGAACACACACTTACACACATACCTCTATGATGATAATCGCTCCCTACAACCATAAATCCATAAGAGCACAAACAGTACCGTTTTTTTTTTTATGGCCGAGAGCTCCCTGTGCATTATCATTGGCTTACCTCAGTGATTTACAGTCTTTAAGCCGCCTACTTTCAACCTTCACTGCATGTGCTTTATATATTTTATCATAGCCGAGTAATTTGAGTCCAGTGATTTTCTGAGCAGTATTACACTCTTTTACAATCCCCTCTGGTCATTAATAACCATCAAATCGCCACATAAAGGGGGATGTTGTTTGACTGATACAAATGTTAAAATAGTGTCATAAACTCTCTGTATTGTTTATTCTGAAAGACTATTTCTACATGGTCATTTTGGCTTTAGAAGAGGGGATTTAAAGTGGCCAATATTATTGAAAGGGTTAGTTTACCCAAAAAAATGAAAATTATGTAATTAATTACCCTCATGTAATTTCAAACATGTTCATCTTCGGAACACAAATTAAGATCTTTTTGATGAAATCCGAGAGCTTTCTGAGCCACCGTAGAATGCTGTGTTATTACCAGTTTCAATGCCCAGAAAGGTAGTAAAGACATCATTAAAATAGTCCATGTGACTACAGTGTTTCAACCTTAATGTTACGAAGCTGCGAGAATACTTTTTGTGCGCAAAAAAAGGGACTTTATTCAACAATTTCTTCTCTTCCATGTCAGTCTCTGACTCTGTTCACATTGTAAACACAGTGCAGCGCTTCCAGGTTCTACATCAGAACGCCGACTCAGTGTTGACGGGATCCTGCGTCAGCATCACACGCATGTGTCGTGGTGCTCACGTGAACAGCACGGAGACTCACACGGAAGAAAAGAAATTGTTGGATAAAGTCATTACTTTTATTGCACAAAAACAAATTTGTTTCATTTTCATTTTTTTGTAACAATTCCAGCCGCATCTTATGTAAGTAACACTGTAAGCCTGATCCTGAAACAGTGGTTAGTGACACATCAATTCTGGCACATATTTTCAAGGTTTTGTATTTTAGTGCCCTTCTTAAAGTGCCATGGACTAATGACTAATGGCTTGTCGCCTAATGACATGTTTTTAGGTGTGCACCATCTAATATCTTTTGATAAGAGAATAACAGGAAACTTCTGTGATATATATTTGAGTTATACAAGTGTGATATTTTTGTGCAATATAACCTTCTTGGCCTGGTTTTTCGGGGTACATGTGTGGTATTTATTGTTGTTTTTGAATACAGTATTATTGTGATGTCCAAGCTAAAAATCCTCTGTGCTTAAGAGACTAATTGTCAGATGTCAGACTTTCTTTTCAACCCTGCAATGAATTAATTTGAAACCATGTGATCATGTCTGTGGTTTTAGTTAGAATCACAAATATATTGATAGGGAAAATCAATGCTTTCACACTGCAATGTTTTTGTTAATAAATTTCAAAAGCAGGTTTTGATTGAAAAGAGATGTCTATTGTGATTGTTTGTACTGTTACAGTAGATTAACAATCTCAGTGCTAACAAATATTAAGTATGGTTATATCATACAGCGACTGAGTTAAGGGATTCATTTACTTTTCAGTTATTGATTTTGGTTAATGATCTGGTGGATATTAAATTAACTAAAATCAATCCATATACATATTTATTATTTACAACTCCTGTTTATTTTATTATTATTTATTTATTAAATAGGAAATATTTTTATAGTTTTTGATATATTTCATTTGTTTAATGTTTTGAATGTTCTTAAAATGCTTGGGAGGGTACAAACCTGAGTAAGATATTAACTCAGGCAAGTGAGTGATTGCTGAACGATTGTTCTGTGTGTGTTTCTGGTGCCATAATGCTAATCAGACTTTGATCTCAGGGAAGTTGGAGTTAAAGTCAAAGAATTTCTCTGTCAAGTCTCAGTGTTTTGTTGGTAATTATCCGGCTACAGTCAGATTGTCCGAACCAAGTGGAGCATTGATTCCTTAAAAAGGTTAGTTTTAAACAAACCTACTACTGATGAGTAAGTTTTACTTTAATTTTACCATTTTTTCCATTGCCAATTTTAAGCTTAGACAAGTAAACAATTGGTGTTTAATAATTTAGACTTGAACTGTGTGTGTGTGTGTGTGTGTGTATATATACACACACACACACGTGTGTGTGTGTGTGTACATATAATTTATTTTATTGATTCTGTGGTGTAGCAATGGATTTCATGAGGGATAATTTTTCATTTTTGTTGTTGTTTGTCTCTCTATACCATACAAATGTGAGTGCCATTTACTGTCATTATTTTAGATCCATCATTTGTTGTGTTTGTATTTTTCAGGGCTGACTATAATGTCAGCATACAGGTCAGTGCTTGGTGTGGCAGTGCTGCTTCTCCACCTCTGGGAGACACACTCCTTCCCTACATCTGCCTGTCCTGTTCCCTGCCTGTGCGAGCAAGGTCCTCTCCTGAACTGCTCTTCTTTAGGCCTGACTACGACTCCCACACGCATCCCAGCTACTGCGGTTTCCTTGAACCTATCTAATAATGCCCTGCGTTCTCTGGCTCCTCTCAGCTTTGGTCAAGTGAAATTGATAGGACTTCTGCACCTTTGGGTGGGAAGTAATGCTCTGGAGAGCCTGTCTTTGATTTTGAAGAAAGACTGGTCAGACACTAGGACCCTGTCAAGTGGAGAACAGGAATGCACATCCTGGGCATCTGATCTTCAGTTGCTGTCTGCAGAAAGAAACCATCTAAAACGTCTACCAAAGGGTAAGTGCATGCAGCAGGAGCATGAATATGATACACACAGCATTAGAAATGTATAATGTAAAATACATATCTGCTCTTCATTGTCCTGAAAAATAAATTTAAATTATAAAGGAAATCAAGGCAACTTGATTAGCCACATAAAGATAACATTCCCATCCTTAGTGTTAATTCATGTGATGGGTGGATGGAAACAAAATAAATTCTAAAATTAGTCATACCATTTAAATCCTTGCTGTTAAGGAATCATTCATTTATTATTTTTTAATTATTAAATAATTAGAACTACTACAAACATTGAAACTAATTTTTAAATTATTGGATCTATGTACAATTTAATCTGTGACATTCATAAAGCCCACACACTCTCCGCCCAGGTGTAAATGACTCAAAGTGGAACTTTGATCTGTTGCGATTACACATTCTTCTGACCTGTTAGATTCCATTTAAACCAGTCCACCCTCGGGATGAAGTAAAAAGAAATCACCTATCATCTAGTCACAAGGGTTGGGCACTGGCATTCCAGTGCCTCGTAACGGGCTGTAAAAGGGTAATAATGGTCTAAACATTCCAGAGGGGGAATTTTATTAGGGCCTTGTATTTTGACCAACCTTCACATTAACTCTAACATGGGATTCTACTCTGTCCAAAGGTGTCTTAAAGCCTTTGCGTACTTGCACTATGTACACTACAAAATGGCATAGCATGAGTAGTGTATTCACAAAGAAAGATATACTTCAAATACATGTATAATGTAATTAACCGAAAAATAAAGTATGGCCCTGTCCCAAATGGCACTCTTCATATGCACTTACTGTGCGTTCACACCGCCACTGGCGAGAACGTCAAAGTGGCTGGAAGTCATTAATTTTCAATGTGAGCCGGTGGCGAGTTCCGGTGAGGGCGGTGAAAGCATCTAGGAGAGTTAAGTCAGGTCAACTTTATGCTAATGAGCTATGACACGGTTCGGCGGCAACCAATCATAATTTAGAACTCCTCCGCTGCTGTAGTATATTTAATCATTCTATTTTGTTAAAATCTCTGAAGCATAGGACATTTAACTGGGGATCTTAGATAATGTTTATATTAAAGAGCACCTATGGCATTTAAAATGTTCCTAATATTGTTCTGGGAGTCCCCAACAACAGTTTTACATGAATGTAATAACAAAAAACACTTTTGTTGTCTTATAATTTGTATTTATTTTTACCTGATTTGCTGACTGACTCCCAAATGATTCGTACAATGACTAATTTTTCCAAAGCACTCCTTTGCGTGACGCTAATCGGCGGTGATTGGTCAGATGACCCAGTCAGTTATTGTTTGTTAGCCCAACGCATAAACATATTGATAAAGCTCTGCAGTACTACAAGACGCTCTATTCTTTATGACAACTCCAATAACAGCGACAAACATTTCACATATTTAAAAAAATTGACATTGGAGACCTAGAAGCTGCGCAACTGAGCGTAACTTACACACACACACACACACACACACACACATACTTATTGCGCCTTCCCTCCTCGCGCCCGACGCTACAAAACCCATAAAAGCAACAATTATTAATAATACTTACAGGTTGTGATTCGGAGGAGGAAGCTGATCCATACACACTGGGTACTGAGCCCTCCTCAGGAACAACCGGCTTGCGAATCCACATTTGAATTCATTTATGTTTTTGAATGATTTATCATTAAAATGATGAGAACACAAGGTTCGGGCTATACTGTTGTGGTATCGTTGCAAATATGAACTCTATCCACCGATTCTTCACTTGCTCGTTCCTAAATGAAAACAAAGCGGCTGAACTATCTTTGCATTGTAGAACACAGCGTCTTCTCGACATGATGCGATTCAGCTGAAGTATTTGTGTTCTAGACTTCAAGTTTACACTTCCGTTTGCGCGCGCAGTTGTTGGGAGCGGCCATTGAGCTAATGGTTCGTATCTACGTCACTACGAAACAGCTAATGACTCGTTTGAAAAACAGTTCATTTCATAGACTCAGAGTCGACTCTCACATTTGAAAGACAATAACTTTATATACGGTGCACTTTCAGATATAATTTTTTGCAGGATGTTTTCATTCCCTTAGAGCTATAGTCCACACTACATGAACAGTCATTTTCAAAAATCCATGATAGGGGCTCTTTAAATTAGGGACCAGAAAGCCAATTCAACCACATTTTGAATATGGTCTCTTGAGGTTTTTTTTTTTTTTTTTAATTTCTGAAATACTGTTCCAGGATGTGATTGTCAGTGTTGATAGACAATATAGCAATTTCAGCAAGGTTTTAATGCTTCTGTGTCTGCTTTGAAACTTCTCGTTTGTTGGAAATCTAGTTGGACTTGGTAACTAAGACCAAGAATCAGGTTTTAAATTGTTGCCTTAGCCTTAGCAGATGCCAATCTGGGAAGCCTCCAAGCAGCACTGTGAATTAGATGGTGGTGTCTCAATGTTTTTCACCTCTTTTTGAATCAGGGCCCAGCCTCAATGTTTCTCTCTGAACTCGTTCAACAGACCCTCGCTTCAGCTCAGCAGTCAATACGGTTCTTAAAAAAGACAAGATAATTCTCCATTTCTCTTCTCTGACAGACATACCTAAACCCTTGTAAGTCTTCCACCTCAATTCTTGACGCGTTTCAGAATATTTGGGATGTACTTGTTTCACATACTGTACATCTAAATAATTTAAAGAGCTTAAGGTATAGATATTAAGACAACAAATTAGCCACAAAGATGCTAATACTATTAACTAATAATTAACATACTTTTACCAACAACTTGATGGTGATGTCCTGAAGAAGTGTTGCTGCAAGAGCCTCAACTAGAACAAGTGGTGATTTATGTAGTGCTCACGTTGTGTGCAGTATTATTTTAGGTGTTTTTATGGACAGATTGGCACAAACAGATGCTTATGTTTATGGGGTCATGGCCAGCTGAAACTATTTTTTTTTAACTGTTACAACAATGTTTGTCTTTTATAACTCAAAACAACTGAAAAATGTCTGACTTTGCAATCTAATAAAAACTCTGTACCTCAAAGAACACATTTATATTTAACTAAAACGTTTATCAGTGCATGGTTGTTAATCATTGCCTTTTGCTCTAAACCACTTCTCCTTCAGGGCTGGGCTGCATGAAGTCCCTGCAGATTCTACAGCTGTCTTATAACCAGATATCCAACATAGGTCTTACTGACCTGGACAAGTGCAGTAATCTCAAAGAGCTACATCTCCAGCATAACAGCATCACAAGCATTCACCCAAATGCTTTTATAGACCTAAAACAGCTGCAGGTAACATATTCATTATTTGGCTTATTTGTGTGATATGTAAATACTGGTCAGATGGTTTAGTTGTTGTTGTTGTTGTTTTATCCTAGCGGAAACTCATCATAAGAGTGATTTTACATGTTTGGGAGTATGCTCCACTCTTTTGACAGACTGTAATTAAAAAGTAGATCAACATATTTAGCCCAGTGTGCATTAAAACTTGGGAAAACATTTTAATTGACTCACTAATTCCATCCAGGTCCTTGATCTGAGCTATAATCTCCTGGTCACCATTCCTGTCCCTGCTTACAAGTCTCTGTGGTACCTGAATGCCTTGGTCGATGTCTCCTTCAACAGATGGAAGTGTGACTGCAACTTGCAGACCTTGAAAAGATGGTTAAGCTTTGATCATGAAATGGGTAATGTTTCCTGGAAAGTGGTGTGTGCCTCTCCACCACATCATTCTGGAAAAGATCTGCTTCACCTAAAGGACTCAGAGCTCACTTGTCCAACACATGAATACAGCATATCTGGTCACCATCATAACATGATTGTCTACGAGGGAATGCAAATATCAATTCCTTGTCGCAATGACAGTAAAGGTGCTACTTCTGTATTTTAAATTATAAAACCATAGTCCAATTTAACATTTTAATTCATAATTTTTAAGTATATTTAAACAGTTTTTTTAGTTATTTAAGTAACTCCTAAAACCTTCATGTAAACAATGTAAATGTTAATTATCTTATAATTCACTTTTTATTCTAGATATCATGCAGGTTCATTGGTGGACTCCGTGGGGCCAAGTCACAAATAACCAAAAAGAACTACTAATTGAGGACATCACAGAGCAGCATGCTGGACTTTACATATGTATTTCAGGTGTCCGAGGGGAGCACATATTAGTATTTGATCTGCAGGTCTACAAAAAACACAGTGGCTCAAGACCACGTAGGGAAGCAGCAATTATCTTGGATGAGGAAGACAATTTTAACTTTCCAAGAAATTATCCAGTTACACGTCAAGGGACAAGAACCCAGTCAGAATTTGTTCTTGCTGTCTGCCTGTCTGTCATTATTACATTCATTTTAGCCTTTATCCTTGGTGTTTTTTTGAGACCACTGTTAGACAAGTTATGGAGAAGAATACGATCCAAGAGACAATCTCCACCACCACCACCAACAATCTCCTCAACTGAACCCCAGCCATATGTGAATGAGGGGTACTCTGATGTTGAAGACCAAGAACAAGAAGTGAGACTGGGTTCAAGAGTTACATTCGGTGGAATCACAGTTGAAGATCGAGAGCCTTACTATGTCACTGTAGAGGATGACCATGCAGATGGCTCCTCTGAGAGCAACACAGAAGTGGTTACTCTTTATGAGGAAATTGAAAAAAATAAATCATCAATAACTGGTGGAAAACAGAAGGCACTTGATGTGGAGCATCATAGAGGAAGAGCAGAGAGTAGTAGTAGCGGCTCACTTCAGGAAGGCGAAGTAAATGCTTTAGTCATAAATGGTAAGAAACTGCCACCCCTCACAACTGAAGACATGCCAAAATCCATGGAATTTGAGCCAATTCCAGATGCAAATGATGTCATAAAGTTAAAAAGAAGGGGCAGTTCTTCCGCATCATCCCACTCCAGTCAGGAAGATAACTTTTCAAGAGAATTAAGGGAATCAAGTGTTGACCCTCTTCCTGTCACTATACCTGCAAACAAAAATACAAAGAACAGAATTCCAGGATTTACTACAGATCCATTTTCAGAATTGCCATCAAGGCTGACAGAACAGAATGTTGATGATTTGGACCCAGAGTTGTGGAATGACAGTGGTGAGAGCTTTTCTTTCACTGAAGGCTCTGAAAGATCAAGTATCCGGGACCTCTCCAGCTCTGCTTTGGGACACCCATTGAAGGACGATGACACATGGAGGCAAGGCAAAGTAAAATCACCTACAGACAAAATAGAATTTGATTCAGAGGTTTATGATCTTGACAAACCATTTGGTAAAGAAGTTCTTGTTGATGATGTAAAGCAGTATGAGCTCTCTGACATTGAAAGCCTCTCTAATTCAAGCGACAGTGATGAAAGTGTAGGTGGACCAAACAATTATGTTGTAAACAAAGAGTTTGAAGAATCAGAAATAATGGATGAATCAGACACAGAGAACAGTGCAAACTTGGACACTCTTGAGGATTTCACATTTAATGAAAGAATGCCTAGTGCTGGCATTCTAATAAGACAAGAGACTATCACTTTGGAGCCTTCGGACATTCATTTGACTTTTACTCACGGAGACAGTGTCAATGAGGGTATGCCTATTGATGATTCACAGAGGAATTATGAGAATGTAAAGAAATCAAACAAATTTGCAATATCTTTAGATGTGGGTCCTATTTCAGTGCCAAAGGTTAAGAGATATGTTGAATTTAAACAGTCCAAACCTCATTTTGGACGCCCAACTCTGCCATCATTATCGGAGAAGGAGGTCAAATCCGAAGCGAACATTGATGCATCCTCTGGAGATAACAGAAGCTTAAGTCAAATAAAGGTGTCTCCTGATGCAATTCAAAAAGTGAAGAGATACATTCACTTCAAACAGCCTGAACCTCATTCCCCAACTCTGCCATCATCACCTTCCTTAACCAAAAAAGGTGCTATGATGGAAGCTAAAAGTTATAGTTCATCCTCAGAAGATGATGCTCAACTGACAACTAAGGATGACAATTTCTTCAGGACAATGGATGTATCTTCTGATGAAGTTTCAAAAGTAAAAAGATACATTTCATTTAAACAGTTTGACTCTTCTTCCCCAACTCTGTCAATATCCAGACCTTCAACTAATATTAAGAGCACAACTGAGGCAACAATACAATCTATGCAGCTCAGCACCTCACCAAAAGATTTGAGTCAAAATTTTAAGCAGCGTGGACATCATTCTTCATCTCTGCCAGCATCACCTACCTCAAGCAGGAAAGGTTTATCAGGGAAAAAGACTAAATACAAAAAACGATATGATAAATCATACTATGGGAGTCATGATAGCCTTCCTCTATACCATGTCCATCCTGTCTATAGATCAAGTATAAACAGACTGAATAGGGGCTATGATACTGATAGATCATATTCCAGTGAAGATGAAGATACATTTATGGAGTACCCAAGAAAATTAGAGATTACAATACCACCTGAGATAAACAGAGGATCCATCACACCAGATAAAAATACAAACAAAAGCCTCAACATTGACTTTGATAACTCCTCCAGCAGCACAGATGTACTTGAGAAGAAACATTCTAAAGGTCTAATGAGACTAAGAGCATTAAGTGCACGACTGTTCAACAGACAAGAAAATGAAAAGGATGAGAGGAGGTCACCAACTGGTTGGGATGTTGGAAGAACTAGTGGTGTCTCTATTAACAAGCAGACAAAGTTAACTAAGGAACAAACCACTAATGAACACAGTCTATTCGGAAGGAGTTTATCCCTTGATCACTTACCAAAAGTGAAGAGATACCTTCAGTTCTCGTACTCTGATTCCCATTTTCAAGTCCAATTACCACCTTCACCACCAACCACTGGGGTAGTCGCACCTATAGTGACAACTGAGTCTAGGAGATCCAGTTACTCATCTGAAGATGATGTCAAACAAACCATTGGAGATAAAAATATTGTTGGACAGGTGAATGAATCATATGTAGGACTTCCAAAAGTAAAAAGATACATTCAATTCTCACACACTGAACCTTACTCGAAAACACTGCCCTTGAACAAACAAACTATCTCAACTGAACAAGTGGCACAACCTGAATCAAGGAGGCAAAGTACGTCTTCTGAAGATGATATCAAACCTACATCTATTGAAGACAATTTCTTGAGAAATAAAAGCGTTTCTCTCGATACAGTGCCACATGTTAAAAGATACATTCAATTCAGTCAGCCTAAACCTTACTCTCCAACTCTACCATCCTTACCGGTTTCAACCAAAAGACCTGTGGTGGCAGCAGAGACAAGTTCAAGCACATCTGACAAATCTAATGCTACAGGAACATTTTTGGGGAGCCAATTAGGTTTTAATCCAATACCAAAAGTTAAGCGGTATGTTCAATTTACACAGTCCAAACCACGTTCTCCAACTCCACCATCAGTTTCATCCTCTACAAAAGTTACACCTAAGATAGAATTGAAAACTGAAGCTAAAATTGACAGATCCTCTGGAGACCAGAGTTACATAATGCAAATAGAGGAATCTCCTGAAAATATTAAAAAAGTAAAAAGATACATTCAATTCAAGCAGTCTGAACCTCATTCGCCAACTCTGCCATCACATTCTTTAACCAAGAAAGATGCTATAATGGAAACAGCGAGATCATCCTCAAAAGATGATGTTCAACCAACAACCAAAGAAGACAATTTCTTCAGGAAAATAGGTGCATCTTTTGATGGAGTTTCAAAAGTAAAAGGATACATCACATTTAAACAGTTTGATCCTTCTTCAGATACCACTTCAGGTACACTGCATGTCACACCTGAGGTGAAAACCAAATCAGAAGCAAGCACTTCTTCTTCGGATGAAGTTGAACTAACTGCTGAGGAAGAAAATGTCTTTGAACAAACAGGAGCATCTCTTGATAGAGTGCCAAGAGTTAAGAGATACATTGAATTCACACATCCTAAAAGTCAATCTCCTGTGCAGACATCAACTGGTCTTTTATCTGAAAGAGTCAACGTATCTGTGGTAGCTAAAGAAACCAGGAGATGGAGCACTTCATCTGAGGAAGATGTTAAACCATCCACTAAAGAAGATAATATCATTAGGGAAACGGGTGAATACCTTGCCAAAATCCCCAAAGTAAAGAGGTACATCAAGTTCACACAGTCCAAACCTCATTCCTCAGATCTGTCACCATTTCCTCCAAACACAGTAAAATCCATAACGATGACAGAAACCAAATATAGAGAAAGCACTTCATCTGAGGAAGATTTTCAGGAAGACATTGGCTTGGGGCAAATAGGTGCATCTCTTGACAGAGTCCCAAGAGTTAAGAGATACATTGAATTCACACATCCTGAAAGTCAATTTCCTGTGCAGACATCAACTGGTCTTTTATCTGAAAGAGTCAACGTATCTGTGGTAGCTAAAGAAACAAGGAGATGGAGCACTTCATCTGAGGAAGATGTTAAACCATCCACTAAAGAAGATAATATCATTAGGGAAACGGGTGAAAACCTTGCTGAAATCCCCAAAGTAAAGAGGTACATCAAGTTCACACAGTCCAAACCTCATTCCTCAGATCTGTCACCATTTCCTCCAAACAAAGTAAAATCCACAACGGTGACAGAAACAGAATATAGAGAAAGCACTTCATCTGAGGATGATTTTCAGGAAGACAATGGCTTGGGGCAAATAGGAGCATCTCTTGACAGAGTTCCAAGAGTTAAGAGATACATTGAATTCACACATCCTGAAAATCAATTCCCTGCTCAAACAACTGCTCTCTCAGCTGAAAGAGTTGGAATATCAGGGGTAGATCAAGATACAAGGAGATCAATCACTTCATCTGAGGAAGATGTTACTGTAATTGCTAAGGAAGACAATGTCTATGGACATATTGGAGCATCTCTTGGCAAAATACCAAATGTTAAGCGATATATTCAATTCACAAAGCATGAAAGTCAACCTCTTGTTCAGACAACAACCGCTCATTTATCTGAAAAAATATCTGGGGGTTTTCAAGAAACAAGAAGATCAAGCACTTCATCTGAAGATGAGGATAAGTCATCTCATGATAATAATGTCATTGTAGAAAGAGGTGCATCTTTTGACAAAATTCCAAAAGTTAAGAAATACATTAACTTCATACCTGCTGAAAGTCAATATCCTGCTCAATCACCTGCTGTCTTAACTGAAAGAGTTGGAATATCTGGGGTAACTCAAGAAACAAGGATATCAAGCACTTCATCTAAGTACATTAAACCATCTTCAACGGATTTTAGTCTCATTGGAGAAAAAGACAAATCTTTTGCCAGTATTCCAAAAGTAAAGAAGTACATTCAGTTCACACAATCAGAACCTCATTCCTCAGCTGTTTCGTCATTTCTTAGTTCAAACACTGTACAATCCATAAATATAGGGGAAGTACAAGAAAAAAAGAAATACAGACCTTCATATGAGGATGTTAAACAAAGAAGACATCATGACAATTTCTTTCAAGAAATTGGTATATCTCTTGACAAAATCCCAAAGTTAAAGAGGTATGTTACATTCTCAAAGAATGAACCTACTTGTTCAACCAAATTAATGAAAAAAGATTTAATACCAACAATGAATGCAGACCTAGAAATCACATTGCCCGGTTTATCATCTGAGGGGTCACCTCCTGTCTCTATGAAAAAAGGGTCTGCATTGATAATAAAAACTGCATCTGAATCACTGATGTCTAGCTCTAGTTTCAAGGACAACATTATGACAAAAGAGTCAATGGACAGTTCAGTGGAACAGACTGGCCAAAAGTCAGTATTTAGGAAGTCAACTTTAAGCCCCTTGTCCAGAGACAAACAATCTGAAGGACATCAGGTTATGGATGTACAACCACCACAAGATGAATTACCAGCAGTTCCACAGACATCCCCACCTTCATTGGAACAGGATGATGCAAGAGAATATCTCAGAGAAAATTCTGAGGTCCTCCAAAGGCAAGAACGCAGACGATTACTGCAGCAAAGAAGAACAGAAATGGATAAGTTCAACATTGCATCCCTTTCCTCCATGCAAAAAGAGGTCTACCAGCAGGACAGATCCCCTAAAGATTATGGAGGAGCGACACAGTTACAAACAGACCGAACTTACAGCACTATCTCTACAAGAAACACAGCCACTTCCAGCCACACAGAAGGAGCTGAAGCCCCAGTTCTACGGGGTCTTAAAACTAAGAATATCTCAACTCCAAAGAATAAGGAATTTTTAATTTAGACAAAGGGTTAATTTTGACTTGTCTAACAGACAATGTTGCACAAATCTGAGCTGATGCTTTTAAAATCTCAGGTTTGAGGATGGGGATTTGTTTTTTTAGTAAGTATTGTAAATGATGTAATACAATCATAAGCATAATCTAAACTTCTTTCAGTATTTCATAAAAGTTTTTTTTGAATTGAAACAATGTATAAATGTAAATAAGAATCTGTATTGTATAAGATCACAAACACTGTGTCCCACAACAGTGGGAGACCCCCAGGATGACCCCAGAATAGCTAGTCTAAGTAATTTCTCATTCAAAACATGACGTTTAGAACAGATTAAAATAACACCACATTTAGTTAATAAACCCCTTTATATATATTGAATGTAGAGAGGTTACAGTGAAAACAAAACACTTATACACACATCCATACATATATACAGTCCGATGAGAATGCTCAACCCTCTGCATTACATACTCCCTCACCCTCACACAACCCCCAGTCCCCCCAGCATGCACAGCATACATAGACTGTTGGATTTTTAGATACTTGATCAATAATTTATGGTTAGCAACCTACATCTTTCAGAGAAAAAAAAATCTGAACAGAACAAAAATATCTTGTAACCAGGAAAAAAAAACTTTTGTTACCCCAAATATGCTTTGATAAAGTTAATAATGATTTTGTCTCTGTACTCTAATTCCATTCAACAAATTTAGTACATTTTCATGACGCTGCAGATATACTAAAAATGCTGCAGTCACTCATGAACGTGGTAGTTTAGCTTTTGGTGGAGATGGTGGAGGAGGCAATGCAGAGAAGAACATCTCATCAGATGAGGTTACAAGTGTGTTTAAGCTCTAAATACCATCACACAATCATGTTTTTCATAAAGCGTTAAGACTGCATGACCGCGGACACCCAAATTAAGCACAAAAAGTCCACTTCTACAAATACCTGTACAAAAAAAAGAAAACAAGAGCAAAAAAAAAGTCAGAAAAAGGAAAAACCTCATTCATTCACAAAGACAGCTCTAACTGCAGAATGCATGCATGCTTTTGTTCTTGTTCAAATGACAAGTTAGCTTCACGCCACAGCCATAGACAAAACTCAACAGTTTTACAAACATAACTAGAACGTTAAATAGTTGCTAGGCATTGGTCACTATGAGTTAAATTGATCATATTTGACCACAAGATCTGTGGATGAAGATGTGGCCAAATGCGAGTCAGTGTTTAGGGCAGAATACCTGTTTTAATATTTTTGTGGCAATTCATCACAGAAATCAAAAGTGCACTTTAACAGCTTTCTTCTGTCCCGCATCTTTTCCATCACTTGGATTCATGTCTTGTCATTTTAATGACATGCACAGTTTAGTTACATTTCTAAGGAATCCAGTGATATAATTAATGCATTCTGCAGTCAATCTAACCTGCTCACACTTCTCTACAAGACGGCCATATCTGCCATTGCCAGTGTGTATGCACAATGGACATGCGAGTCAGGAAAAAGATACTGGGCTCTATGTTCATGATAAGTATAGCATCTGTTCCTCATTTTGCAAACAGTAAAGCTATTCAAGTTGATCTCATAATCAATATCAAAAATGAAGTGGTGAAAGGTATACTGATACCACTGGAAGTACTTACAGCAGAATGTCTATGACACTCTTGCTTGTGGTGTGCTTTATTAAATGGCAACCAAGTGCAGTGAGACGGGTAAAAATAAAACTTACGGCATAGGTCGCTATGTAACTATGGTAATATGCTCTGAATGTCATCCTCCTCCAACATAAAAACCTTAGTAAACAGTGTTTGGACCACATCAGCAGAGTGATACTGTAAGCTATTTCCATTTTGAACCAAAAATTCTTAGTGTTTAGTCACCAAACTTCAGTAAAAAGCCAAGCAGGTGCTTGTTCGTTCTTTTCTCAGCCCTTCCAGGGCTAAATTGCCTAAATGTCTTAAATCTTCAGACTGTATGGGAGTTTTTACCTACCCTGCCTTGTGGAGAAATTCACTCTCCTTTTAAGAGCCTATTCATTCACATTCACAGCAATATGAAACATCACAGTGGGGTGGGAAGGCGGCTCCGAGGCTGGCCGTGTGCTTACCCACAATGCATCGTGGGCTATGGGGGGGTATTAGGTGGAGTCGGTGAGGTGCTGTTTCTCCAACACACAACCACCAGTGACACCTCCTATGGCCCCGACTAAAAGGGCGACATACAAACATGTGCATTGATATTACATTCTATGCAAACAGTCACACACTCAAGCCCTCACAGCCGGAGGCCACCATCAGTCCGTCCCAAACTCTTCAGATTTGATTTGTACTTTGTTTTCTAGATGTTTGTTTCAAAGCCGTTTCTGTCGTCATTGTCATGGTGATTGTTGGCGATTAGTTTCTAGTTGGTGATGGTGGTAGGCATGGGGAAGCTGTCGCTACGACATCTCTCGATCTTTATACCATTCGACAAACTCGTCCAACAGCACTGGCCCTAAGCAAAGAGAAAAAAAATAATCAAAAGGCAAATCTGATGTACTTCGAGCTGCATTTTACAAAATAATGATGGGGTATTCATTAATTAATAATTAGAAGTATACAGACGTGTTAAAGTGTGGGTGCTTGTACTCACAGGCCCCGTCCTCATCATAGTTACTGAGATCAAGGTTGATAGTCCTACTGAATTCTAGAACATTGCACCATTGATCTTTATTTATAACCTTATACTTAGATTGCTGTGGGGGGATAAAAATGGGGGGAGATATGTCACGGTCAAAAATTTAATTGACACAGAATATGTACTAATATGCAAATATATGTATTAAATACCAGTCAAAAGTTTGTACAGATTTTGTTTCCCTTATATTTAAAGGTGCTGTATGCAAGTTTTTGACCGTACTAAAGCATAAAAATACCATACTATGTTTGCAGATATTTAGATATTTACATACATAAAAAACAATGCTACAGCCAGTTATTCTACTTTGAAATGGTCTGTACGATTCCGCCCACTGCCAATTTACCCAACAGTATTTCAACTGCTAACTGTCAATTACATACTGCACCTTTAAAGCTTTATTCTAAAACTAAATTGTGGTTACATTTAAATGTGCTTTAATTTTAATTGATTGTTTTGGAACATAGATGAGTTAGAACATAAAACCAGCCAACAAAATGGCCAGTTTGTGAACACCTTCAATGCGGTTTAAAAAGTATTCCTAGATTCAAGAAGTTGGCTGAGAGAATGTCAAATAATATGCCGCTTAAGGTTTGTGTTGTATGTATATCGTTTTATGACATTTATATTATTATAAAATGTGGTAAAGCAGTAATAATGAATCTGCAAGTGGTCAAAACATTTGACTGGTCTTGTAAAATTATTAAAGTTACACTGATAAACTGTAAAGATTCAAATATTTACTTCTAGAAACTGGTTAAACACTGGAAACAATGGCCAAGTCTTCCCAAGCAGAAGTCCCAGCATACACTTGGCAGTATTCAAGTCTAAACTCCTCTGATCCTTCTCCTGCAAAGGGGGGGAACCATACTCAACTTTAAACATTTTGAATACAAATTCACACACCCCAATAAAAATACTGAGTTGGCAATTGTGGTAGTGAGGTAACAATCTATTGCCAAAGTACTTAAATCCAGGTTGCTCCTGGAGGACCGATTCTGAAATGACTGTACTGTGTACTCCATACTCTAAGCAGTCTGAGCTTGAACATATGATAATACAAGTGCCTGAGGGCAGACATGATTATTGTCCCAATTCCTTGACACCATAACAATGCTTCAGGATCTCTGTGCCCAATATTTAAAAGCAAAAATACTGTAGATAAATCACTTCTCTAACAGCCATGAAACATGGTTTCACTGCTGGAGAATGGACTAAGAGCTCTTTACAAGATAAGCCCAGACCTGAACATTTCTGTTTTATCTAGACAGGATGGATGTCATGTTATCCGTTCAAGGTTGCCACAAGCTATTTATTTGTACTCGTCCACTTTATTGGTCTTATCGAATGGCTACTGTAAGAGCTTCACTCAGCAAATCTCCATTCACTTAACAATTCATACCAAGGGAATGGGAAAAAAAGAATAATTGGGACAAGAGATACTTCTGCCTAGCAGACAAAGAGGTAAAACAACCTAGAATAGCACCATCTCTCAGCAGTCTCAAGCCCAAGTCTGTTGTAACTGAAGAACTGTGATGAGCAAAAAAAAATTATTCAGAAAGGATCCAGATGCACAGTCATAAGCAATCATTAAACCAAATATAGTGTTGAAGTATTAAAAGAGTACAAGAGCTTTTAAAGCCAACAATGATTCGTGTTCATCAATCAGTCCTAGACATACTCACCCTGGCAAAGTCAAAGGCATATCGGTAAATGAGCTTGAAACTGGTGGCATCGTTGAGGACGGACCTCAGGTAGTCTAGAGAGTTCCTGAGTTTTTCAGTAGAGTCACATCTACATATGACAAAAAAAGAAGAAAAGTAAAGTTTGGGACAGAAATAAATGTAGTAGCATGGTAGTAGATGTATACAAGGTTCATGTTTAGCCAGACATACTGCAAAGAACCCATTCCCTTGAGCCACTCCTGTAAAGTGAAGTAACCCATACTCTGGGCATCAAGCTTCCAGGCCAAGACCAGCATCACCACCTACATACAAATTTACATTAAAATGACCACTGATGAGATGTTTTTAGAGGAAAATGTAAAACCATTTCAGATTAATTTAGTTTCTTACATTCTCTGGCTCCACTCCAATGTCTTCACAGAATTTCTCCATCCCTTCTGGTCCAACCACATCATCACACCCTATTAACACAACACAACACATGCAGACACAATTTTACTTTTATATACATTGGCCCCAAAAAGTATTTGGACACTTAAGCCACAATACATTTATTTTTTAAAGTATTTGAATTGCATAACAACATTTTAAAACTAGTGGCCCTTAAAGCTGCAGTAGGTAACTTGTAAACAACAATTTTTTTTTTTTTTTACATATTTGTTAAAACTGTCATCATGTCCTGACAGTAGACTATGAGATAGATGATCTGTGAAATAAATCAAGTTCCTCTGGCTCCTCCCAGTGGTCCTATTGCCATTTGCAGAAACACTGCTCACGGTCTGAAACTATGGTCATATTCCTTATTCACGGCAGCGCCATCTTTGATTTTTAATGAGAATGAAAGCGAGGCTGTGAGGGATAGACATGTTTTCGGATTGTTCTGCTTATGAAACAGTGGAAAAATATCTTTCCAAGACATTTCAGTTGACAAAAAACTCCCGACAATGTAAGCTGTGGAAAATTGTAAGTAATCTAGGAGCTTTATTCAGCTTTTTACAGCGGATGCCATTGGAAACACGGTAAGTCTATCCCTGACAGCCTCACTTTCATACCTGTCATGGCGCTGCTCTGAATAAGGTCTATAAACAACCACTCAGAGCCAGGAGGAGTGTCTTAGCAGTGTCAATCACATGGTCAATCACGCACGTGTACGCGCTGATCACGAGAGAGCGCTCGTGCACAGCGCCAGCGCGCCGTCATTCAAACCAAACTCAATTGCCGGTGTGCTGCAGCTGTGCTAATGGCGGAGAAACAACTTAAACTGCCAATTTATCGAGTGGAACCTGCTCATAAAACAAAGAAGGGTAAAAGGAAGAAAATGATGACGATAAACAAGCGAAAAAGAAAGAATTAGACAGAGCCCATTGACTCAGTGTCAAAACTTTAGCCGCATTACATGTCAAATGTCACGCACTGTGCAACAAAGCAACAATTGAAACCTGTGAATTCACTGACTTGTCATGTTGCTGAAATAATATTGTGGCGATATAATACTGAGACCGAGGGACAGGGAAGGGTGACGCGAGGACGGTGGCGTGAGTGGCAATGAACGACACCCGACACACCGGTCTGTCTCGCCTCTCTCACGGAGGAGGATCATAAAGGAGGATCGCGACGACAGTGGAGAGAGGTACAGGCCTGATTTTATGTTGTGATTTTATGTTCTGTTTTGTGTGTTGTCCGTGAGGAGCTGCTGGTTTATACTCTAATTTTGTATTTGTTTATTAAACTTGTTGAACGTTCGCCGGTTCCCGGCTCCTTTTTGCCAAAACTACTGAACTCGTTACAAATACAGGCCTAGTACTAGCAAATCTAGCATTAGGCGTACATATCGCTAGAATAATTACTTGAATTATATTACATAAGTTCCGTTATCGTTATATTATCTTACTAGCTATTTATAACTTATAGAAAGGTGCAACGTTATAGATTTCCATTATGTAAATACGTAATGATTTGAGGACCAAGTTTGTTGTCAAAGTATGGGCAGGCCTAGTCAATGTAAAGCATATTATTGATGTTTCGTCCCTAGTGAATGTGGCATAACATTATCCACTGTCATTGGTGTCCCCCTGCTTACTAGCCTGCGCGTTCACGACAGGCTCCGCTGTTGGGGAGGGCTGCAGCGCAGCAGCGAGCAAGGGGGTGGGACCTGTAAGTTGTGCTTGTTCAAATTTTCAGGCTAAAAGTCAACTTTTTTTTTTTCAAAACTCCCTACTTTAAACGCATAGTGGGTCTTTAGAGACCAGTGACGTCATTCACTACTCTCCTTCTCATTCATTTTTAAAAGACATCAACCTTCTTATTATTCCTCAATCAATTAATTATAAACAATATAACAAAAAAACAACAACAACACAATTATAAAAGAATGCCTGTTTTCCCATTGTATAGGCATGCTAATGACCTGAGGTGTGTAACAGTGCAAGTATATGTTTTTCTGCACAACAATGGATTTTTTTGATTACTGAATAAGTGCAATTCACCTTTATTCCACAGGGTGGCAATGTCTATTACACAATGAAACGAGCTTAGATCAGGGCATCGGGCCAAAAAAAAAAATAAATAAATCAAGCCCGGGCAAGCCCATGCACATTGTGCCCACTTAATATTTAAATTGGCCACTTAATATTCAATTTTTTTAATTATCACAATGAAAGTTTTAACTTTATTAAATTGAACTAGCACAACATTCAGCATTCAATAAAATATTCTTAAATATTCATTATTATTAATAATGTTATTTCGATATATGTGTGCGTGCAACAAGCAAGATGTGCATTTGTACATTCGTTGACAACTGTGCCGAGAATTGATTTAATTTATGGTGAGGTAAAGTAAATGCACTTATTTAATTTGTACAAATTGCTGCACATTCATTTAATTATGAATTTTGCATCTATTAATTATCTTTATGAATAATGTAACAAGGACAAAGCATGTAAACTACGTTGTTTATTTATTCAGAATCAAGTGGAACGCAAATGGATCCGAATGAATGACCCTGCTATTTTTGCTGTCATAGGCATGCAGCGCGCTGCATTTGCACTCAACAAAGCCAACACGCATGTTGTCACTGCCCACGACTAGTTTAAAATTTTCCATACCTCCAACTTTCCTTCATACTTGCTCAAAGTGCACTGCAAAGCTTAATTTGTTTTAATCCTGTTTTATTTTTTTTTCTTTACTTCTTAAAGCTCCATGTTGCACTTAATATACACAATACAGCGTGCGAGTGGAGGAGACGCTGCGTGTGACACGTGACGTGCTTGATCCAGGGCCCGACCCGACCCGAGCATAGTGGCGGGAAATATCGTGAGAATCGGCAGAGAATCTAAGCTCTACAATGACGTGACCTTCACTCATAGTTACCGCAGGCAGAAAACAAAAGAATAGGAAGTATTCTAAGCAGAACTTTAAAGGGCTCAGTGATTTACTGAAGAGCAAATACTGTACTTGCTTGGACATTTTTTTTAAGTGTGACATAAGTGCCCAAATACATTATAGTATATACATTAGTCACTCCATTTACATCTTAACTTCATTTGGAAAGTCTCTGAAGTCACAAGGGTGGCATTCTGAATAAAGAAAGAAAAGGAAAAAAAAAAACTAGCATAAATTTAGCTGACATTATTCACTGCCTTCTAGACATTTCAAGTCAAATGATATGAGCTTATCAGCTCTTGATGTGAATATACCATTTTAAGACCTTACCAATGACTAAGTTTACATGGACAGCAGTAATTTAATTATTGACCTTACGTCATTACGTCACCATGCCACGCATTCCAACGTTCTCTTCGTATTAACATACAGTTCGCAGGGCTCAAATTTCACCCTGCAGGTCTCTTGCTTATATTGTGGGAAATTCCCACAAACATTTATTCACTGTAGCATTTAGGTTGTATGAGTAAATGAATCCACATAGATTATAAAAATTATAATAAAAAAACAAACAAAAAAAAAACTCTATGCTAGACGTAATTTCACAAACAGTGAAGAGTGATTCAGTGGTGCTGCGTTTCTCGCGTTTCTCTGTTCTCTCTCTCGACTCAGTGCAGTAATGTCATTGCTCATGAAAAATCTTCTCCAGAGTGATGATATTACTGCAACGTTTAAGTGCTTCCAAGCACTTGCTATGGTATTCCGCCATACATTACAGTTATCCACTTTATACGCTTAGAAAAGTGCATTTTATTTTATTTTTTATTTAAGTGCATAAACGTTTTTTTGTGTCACCATTCTTGGTCGAGTTGCACTACTCGTGTAACTGTATTTAAATAGGAAAACACGGAGGTGTTTGGTTGCTTCTCTGCTTTGATCCTATTGAATGAACTGGGCTAGTTAAGTGCTATCAAAGTGTCTCGTGCGCCAGAACGATTAAGTGCACGCACTGAGACGAGAGGTATCCTATGCATCAACTTGTCTTAGTTAAAGGAATAACAATTTAAAATGAAATAACGGCGTATCCCTTTAACATTACCACATTGCATCTGCACAATTAGGGGTTAAAGCAGCGGACTGCAGCTTTAACCTCTAATTTACTTTAGCTGGATTAAGGTAATCAGAAATCCATATTTACATGGTAGTTTCATAATCAGAGTATTGTCTTAATCTGCTTAATATCGGAATATTGTTGTCCATGTAAACATACCGAATGACATTAAAAAGTCAGTTTATGTCATGTTCACAACATGAAAGTAAAACTCAACATGACTTGCGTACATACCTGCATATTCATAAAACCACTCTAGACATCTCTTGCTAGAAAAAGCTTCAGCCTCCTGGATTTGTAATGTCTCCTGTTTTCTGTAAACACTGCAGATGATATTTAAATATACATTAACATACACTTGTATGAACATTAAAGTGCAAAAGTGCTGCATCTGATACATACAAGTAGAGACGCAAGCTCTGAGGGCAAAAATCCACCCACAAACACAGGTTCAATACTTTATATACTCATACTTTAAATGAATTAAATTTTTTTTTTTGTACCCGATTTTTTAAATAAACAGAACAAATACATTGGGATAACCTGACTTCTCTTGAGACTCCCCTGCTTTCAGTAGTATGTTCCTGCACAATCGGAGGCTGCACTTTCAGGACCCCAGTTTCAGTTTCCTAGTTTTTTGTGACAGCACCACCTAAAGAACTGGATGGTGATTTAGTTTGTAGCTTACATAGCATCAATATCCACCTATTATCTTGTCTTGATGTCTATCTAGTCTTGTTAGAAATGTGTATGACTGTCTGTCTGATTGTCTTGCATGACAAAATTTAAAAGATTATTATTACACTTTTACTTAAAGCTCACTTTAAACCACCGTTGAGTATTTTTATCATATTTCAGTTGCAGTTTAAAATGGTTTTAAGTAAAGAAAAAGATGTTGAAATATGTTGTATTAAGCATTTTATAGCTAATGGCTACACCTTGCTAAGCAATACTAGTGTAAACATTCTTTGTTCATATGAAAATATCAAATTATACACAAACCTAATTGTGCATTTTTTTAGCTTCTTGTTTCGAGTGAAGAGATGTCTTAGCTTTGTTATCACAAAGGTCAGAATGAGGACGTTTACACAGGAGTGCGTCATGCAAAAGAGCAGGATTATTTGTCGCGTTCAACCCATAACCATGTGAGATGATTGACAGCTCTATAGTGAATAAGAGAGCGCTGAGATCATAAGTGACTCAAATTAGGAAGAGGAGAAGCAAATCTCGCTATGTTCGCTATTTGAACTTCAGATCGCATAATTTAGTGGAGCATAAAGATCATTATTTCTTCAAATATGTGCACCATTGGAGAGCCCGGACGGATGCTGTATGTATGTGAACACAAATAAACCGGAGAAGACGTGAATGAATGCTTTATGAGTGATGATTACTATTAAAAATAACAAACGTTACAGATTAATAATTTTGCACTCCTGTCATAAATTTAAGAATTGAATGTCACTGCAAACCAGTTTTATCATAAACAGTGGTCAACAATCGAAACTGGAGTTTTAAATCTTTCTAATGATGCAGTTTGTCCAGAATCTAGATTAAATAAGTAAAAGTGTGATGTTTTAACGAGTAATGAATGTTGAACAACAATAATCTGGGGCCGTCTGTGATCTTTGCTGCAAAAGGGGTTAAATGAGTGTTTTGTTGATCCAGTTCGGTAGGTGGCGCTGAACAGAAAACTAGGGTCCTGAAATTGTGATCCTAGAACTGGGGTCCTGAAACTGCAGCATCCGGTTGTGCAGGAATACCCTTCTCCCTGCTTTAGAGCATAGTAGTGATATGCTAAAGCCCGCCCGCACGTTGACGTGATTGGTTACAAGGTAGTTTGAGATGTAAGAAATGCAGACGATTTCAAACCTTATTTTTTTAGAAGGTCTTTGTTTCACAGTAGTTTTAAGGAGAAAATACTCCGCAATGGTGTTGACTTATGAGTTTGCATGTTGTGTTAAAGCATTCATTAAATATTTATTAACTCTTTCCCCGCCAGCGTTTTAAAAAAAAGTTGCCAGCCACCGCCAGGGTTTTTGACGATTTTCGCTAAATTTGAATGCCCCCGCTGAATATTTTCTTCCATGAATATATGAAGATGATATATATAAAAATAAAGATCTGAGCCTCTGCTTTTAGGCAAAAAAAAACGTTTTTATTTTATCTTCATCTGTTCTTTTTTATTGCCTCTTGAACAGAGGTAGGTTTTGTCAAAAACACAACATTTTGGACAAAAAACTGAGAAAAAGCTATTTTTATCAAACAAGTGCATTTAAAAGCAGAATACATTCAGATGTTGTTTCCTTCATATATAAAACTTTCCAAAATAAATTAAAAACATAAAATAAATGTAAAATATATCAAATTTCCCTGGATGTAAGGGAAATGTAACTTTTGCAATAAAACTTCTGCCTCTGCCTCTCTGTGTTCTACCTGTGAATAATGAATAATTGGAATTACAATAAACAGGCCTAGACACACACACACACACACAAATATTATATTACAATGTGGTAAATGTGAACAAAGAGAGAAATAATTTGACAATTACACCTTCATATTTAGACAGCCACACATAAATGCCTGCACACACACATACATATTATAGTGTCATAATATTATACGATCTATCTGCGGCACGTCCATGGCTAGCATGAACATGTGCATCTCTCTCACTGACTACTTCGTCCCGATCAGATTCAGAATTATCAAATAAAGAGTGATCCGACTCCGAGTCCATTAACCTCCAGTACTTCAGCCATATACCTCTGCATTGTCTGTCTGATACATTCTCACTACTCCACTGTTTGAGACGATTGCAATCTGTTTCTCTAAACAAAGAGTTGCGCAATCATTCAGGACATGCGCGCGGGTCTTCCTAATGGCTCTTTCAGACTGCACGATTTTCAAAGTAGTCAGGTCGCTGCTCTTTTCACACTGCATGACTATCTTGGCCAGCATTCAGTCGCTGCTGTGTTCACACTGGACGATGGATCGGCGACAGAAGGTTTCACACTGCATGACTTTAGAAAAATCGCCGACGGACTCTGTCTAGCACGCTGCACGCAAACTATATTTCACAACAAACACGCGTGAGATATGAAAAGGAAACAACGCGCGACACCACACGTGCAAGACCGGAGTTCTCACGTGAGACTTTTTTTTTCGACCAGGTTGTGGTACAGCTGGTGAAACAGACACGAGTGCTCCTGCCAAATTTCTACTAATTTTTCTTCCATTTATTGTGTCCAAATAGACCGAGAAGAAGCTTTTTTTGTTGAAACAATGCCATATCATGTTGATATGTGATCTATAACTCCTCCCCGAACTCCCTGCTGCTCTGTATCTTGCTCTCTCACTGGCTGCCGGTGATCGCCGATGTAGTTTTCAGTCAAAACACTTTTCACACAGCAGGATTTTGAATCGCCGACAGGTCCAGATATTTAGCATGCCAAATATCTCACGGGCGTCGGCGACTCGTCGGTGATTCTCTCAGTTCGCGTCTTTGTTCATTCACACTGCGTGATTGTCACTCGCGTGAACGAGCGCCGATTTGCCTGTGATTTCGGGCATTTGTCGGCGATTTCTCAAAACCTGTCGGCGAGCCAAAATCGTGGCTAAAATCATGCAATCTGAACTCGGCATTACCGTATACCACCTAAAACACGGATACCCGGAAAATTCCGTGTTTGGCGCAGATGCGTTTTTTCATTAAACACGGAAAATTCCGTGTTTGGCGGGGAAAGAGTTAAAAACTTTAGAGGGCCTTTAACTGATATAATTTAATAGGTACCTATAGTTTAGTTGTTAATCAAAAAGTTGGGTAGATAAATGAGTGTGTATGTATGAGTGAATTAAAGGAAAGTCAACAGACAGATGGAATTGACAGAGATGAAGAAGCTGGAGAGAATGGAAAGATGATGTTTTGAGCATACTTATCCTGCCGGCTCTTCTTAGCAGACAGATCATCCCCAGCAGTGGGTCTCCTCTTTTTCCTGGGGGGCATGGCTCTGGAGCAGCAGGCTGGAAAAAAAAAAGAGAGACAGAACAAATATTGTGATTATTTTTGTTTCCCTTTTTCTGCCATTCGCTCCCACAAACCTCATATATATATGTCCTCATATAATTTGCATGAGACGCAGTCCCGGTTCCAGAATCAAAAAATTGCGGGCGCTTCTGAAAATAGCGAGGATGCTCTAATAAAGCAAGTGTAAGCAAAGGCTCCACTATGACAAAAATAGCAATGTACAGAAAAACATGTAAGATAATTTACTTATAAAAGTCATTACTTTTATAAATAATTTGAATAGAATTTAAAAGATATTTTGATATTAATATTTTTTTCTATTAATCTATTAGTCTGCATTTACATTGCTCATTCAAATTCGAGAGTGAATTCTATTCCATATTTATATGTAGATGTCACTTCCGAAACTTTGCAGCATGTGTAATTGGCCATCAGTCCTCAGCAGCATGAACAAAAAAAAATGTATTCAATGGTTTATATATAGCCTCGAAAGTGCGCAAAGTCTAAAGAAGCTGTCAGAAAATTACACATATATATATATTTTTTTTTTTTTATTTTTTTTTATATTAGTTGATTAGGTTATGGAGAGATTGGGCAGGTCACTACCTGTGCCGTGAGTCTCTGGGCCGACGTCTTCTGTCAGGTTCTACGGTGAGAAAGAGACTGCATTTAACAACCTCTCTATCTCTCTTTTCCAAGCAGATGTACCATGCAGGATCTACAGATGATGATGCTGCTTTTGTATTTGTCAAAATGTTGAAATCACGTATAAGAATAGATTTTAATTATTACAGTTTGATGAATGATCTTGGAAAATTTTCCAGTATTTGGTGTCACAAGGATGTGCTCTGCTCTGTTGTAGAGAACAATCTAATTTTCAAGAGTGTTGATTTAATGTGATTTTATTTTAAGTGTTGTTTTTTACAACTATTTTAATAAAGTATTTGTAAAATCTCAAAAAGCTCTGCAGCAGATAAGCAGCTATTAGCTCCGCGCCAAAAAAAAAGACAGTAAGCAAGTGTGTGATGTAGGTGGCTGATCATCTTTTTTTCTTGTAACCTTTACAGACGCTGCCAGTGCAGCTTTCTCAAAGACATCGGGGAGGAGAGTTCTGGAAATAAGATCAATGTACAACACAATTCTGTGTCAATCAGGGATATTAGGGTAATTATTTAAGTAAATGGCTTGATCAAAGATTAATTTTGTAGTATGTATGTAATAATGCCGCTGAGAGTCCTAAACTCTTATATAGCCAAATACAGCTATCCCACAATGCTAATCTACCAGTACACCAGTGACGGTCAGTAAAGCACTGTCAGCTCTTGCATTAATCTCAATATAAGAACATCGGTCCTTTAACCAGGGAATAGGGGATTTATGGCCTGATCTAATAATATTCACATAACAATATTAGCTTATATTTGCAAAATTCTGCATATGATACTGTATATATAAACAACCTACACAAAATCTGTATGAAGAAGAATGTCAAATTTCAAACACCCATCATTCACTCTTTACTCGTCTGCTGTCCATTGCCCGATCTTTCAATGCATTTTACCAATTACCAAATATAGCACATATGTGTGTGAAAAACGTCTGCAGATTTCATCTAGACCTGGTTATAGATCATTTATGATCTAAAGCCTCTTTAACATGTTTTATCTTTTAAACATGTTTAAAGCTAGTTTGTTTGACAGAACAAACAAATATCTGACCGAGAGTTTGATTCAACTTCAGCGATAGCATACAGAGAACACGTATCTCTTTTTTTTTCAGAGAGATTCATCTATGTCTTTTCTAATAGTTTCACTAAATAAACTTACGACTTAAACGACAATAAATCAATGATACATTGGTAAACTTAGTTTTTGACCTTGAAAACTGAAAATGTTGATTTTGTGTGGATTTAGTAGTCTACCTGCCAGAATCATATTGATACAAAAGAATAAATTATGTAGAGATAAACTAAACATGAAATGTGCATAAATCCCATCTGTAAATGTTCTTGGTTTAAATCATTTAAAGGCATAAATGTTAAATCTGGCAAAAAAAAAAAAAAGCTGATGAGTTTTTAAGTGGAGCCCATATTTACCAGCCTGTGCAGGGTGTGGTAGATCTTGTGGATACTGGCCAGTGTGGACAAATGAGAGTTCAGCTGGAAATCTGTGAGGGAGATATAAAAATAATCATCTGTTACTCCTGGCAGTTATGTACAAGCATCTGGGCTGTACATGGATTTCTATGTGTTTGTTCACACAGTGTCTTCAGTCTAAAATGTAGAAGTTATTGAGAATATGGAAAAAAAGAAGCATCTGCTTCAGTCGGCGTGTAGAGTGACACAGGGCTCTCAAGTGTCACGCATTGAGAGTGACAGTCACTCATTTCGGTCTTGTCACGCACTACCGCCACACATTGTATTCCTCATGTGACACTTGTCAGTGACGTGTCATTTTTTTTCTTCTGCGAGTCTGAGAAATTATTAATAACAACATAAACACTAATAATAATACTACTATTAATGACACATCCCCATTTCCACGACCTGCCCGACTCTGCATTTCCCAGATCACCTATTGCATCTTCAAGTGATGTCCATTTTAAAAACAGTATTGTTTGCTCTTTTTTGCAATGAAATAATTGTTTTTAACAAAAGCCACATCAGCACTACAACACACAGCGGTGTTTCTGAACAAATCATGAGAGTCAATGATCCAATTACCCATTCATAATACAGCCACTTGTTTCATTACTGAATTAATAAATGAACGAACAAACAGATTATATATTAGTATGGTTTCATCATTAAGAAAGTAAATGTCAGTGTGGAGGTCATATTTCTCTAGCATGTTAATATCAGGTCCTAGTGAATATCAGATATTTAGAATACATTTGTGGAAGCAAGACTTGGGATTAGATATAGATAATTAAGAATAAATATGCACAGACCCAAAAGATGGTTAATAGTCAATTTCACTGGCTTACAAAGATAAACATGACTCTACTTAATCAAAATAAAATCCACAGCGATATTCCAGAATTATACTTGTATTAAATGTAACCCAACACTTCTAAAGGTGCATTGATTAACTGCTTGTGATAATGTGAAGAAATTCATAAAGTCAATTATGAAAGTCAGTAATGTGATCTCAATATTGGTCTTTTTAATTTAAACATTGAATCCACAGTTTTTCATTTTTATTCTTCCAGAAAATATGACCTAAGTATCAAAACAAGATATTCAGATATATGAATAGATAAACATTTGTATACGTCAATGGCATCTTTTGAAAGGCCCACTATAATGAAGTAACTAAGAACAAAGAATTCTCGGTAACGCTTCCTTTTACAGTCCAGTTACCCATGTAAATACTATGTACTTATTTTAGTAACTACAATTACTGGGTAATAACTAGTACTAACCTTGAACATACCCCTAAACCTACCCCTGTTCCATGTACTTACCTTATATTAGCCAGTACTTTCTAGGCAAGTACACTGTAAGTACTGTACAGTAAAAGGAAGCGTTACCGAATTCTCCTCATGCAGTGTAATGAAAAAGACATATATATAAAATATGTTTAGCTATATAAAGTAAAAAGAAGCCTAATTTGAAAGTTTATGGATCTCTTGATATCATTTGTCAAAATGAATGACTACATAGTGTATCAACAATGTTTACACGGTAAATGCTTGATATGGTGGTTATATATTTTATGTAACTTTTCTATGGTTTTATTATACTGTTTTTGATGTACATTTTTTCCAGTCTTGAAATGATGTAGCTTACACAGGGAATACCTAAATAAATACGATATGCGGCTTATAAAACGTAGCCTAAACCTGTTTTGGGCCAATGAAAACTTAGCATTATTCATTTGTAAAGAAACTAAAGACTGGCGTAACACCAAGAAAATCACGTAAGCATATGATTCATTTTGCACTTCCACGTTCTCGTTATTCGGATAAAAAATGTACAGTACAGGCCTTATTTATGAGCGATGTGCGAGTAGGTAGGCCTGCGAAACGAACATTAAATACAGATATAATGAAAGATGTTATTTAAATAATGCCCGGTATCGAATCCGGTGCATTACTAAAACAATCTCGACATAAAATGAGACCTATTTATGAACATCTGACGCAGTTGTCAGGAATAACAGTACGTTAGATATAGTTATAACACCCCAAACATGTAATGTAACATGTACGTTAAGCTATTAGTCGAATTGGAAACAAAATGATACAAACATTCACCGCTCTATATTGACAGCTCTTAAAAATAAAAATTTCTGACACATAGTTAACACAAGAGTGAAAATACACAACTTGCAACGACTTTACAAAGTATCTAGAGAGTCTGTGGACTTCTGGGATATGTAGTCTAACGACAAACAACGCCTACGTTTGCCAATGAAATGGCTCGGCTGAATAAACTACATTTCCCAGAATTCCCCAAATCATAATTTCAATCGGTACTCTCCCCAACTGATGAATGCGACCCAAATGCAGCAAAAAAAGATTTTCTCTTTGATCAAAGACATTTTTTTCACAACGATGTGCAGTTGCTCTTTCAGGTGGCCGTACAGTAATGCGACAGATCACATTTGATGTGTTTGCAAGCACTAAATTTTTACACAACTGCGTCACAATTTTCACCCCCTGTCATTTTTCCGCAGTTTTCTCGGAAATATCTAACCCGTTTAGCTCTAAAACAGCAACCTTTAACTTGCTCTTCGGTGGCTTTGCATTACTCGTTCGAGTTGTGATGAGATGGATCCCTTAAGGTTATTTGGGTATTAAAGGTAATTAGTGCACAAGTGTATTGTGTAAATAGGATCAGATACCTTGCTCGGATTGCTGTATATAACTTACTCAAGCAAAGAAGGCTAAAATACAACGATATTCCTTGCAAGGTCGTTGTCGCTTGCAAGCGCCCGAAGTAAAAACACAAAGAGAGCAGCTAGCAAGCTCAGAGTCAATCTGATGATTTGTATGCTCGGGTAACGGCTACTTTACTCACAAAATGCGTCAATACAGCGAATCATACGTCTTAAAAGAAGTCACGGCGACTTGTCAGGGTTCAGCAAGTTCGCAGTTGCCATCACAGGTCGACAGAATACGAATAGCAGTGAAAACGTACTATTGTACTTACTTGACGCATCTGAGTGCATTTTTATGAAACACACAACTGTATTTGTGTGAGTCTGCAGACCGGCCAGTGGGCGGGACACGTCAATATTATTCCTGCCCACAAATGATTTAGATGGGCCAAATTTTTACACACCACGCCCATAGTGTCATTGATTGGTCGAGAAGAGTGTCAAATACATAGTGCAAAAAGCAATGTGTACATCCCGCCTCTAAACCAACGTGATTGGTTAAGGTGCTTTTATAGCCCTTCCTCTCAAAGCATATTATTGGCTGAAAGGTATGTCTACACCCATCAGTTACGATAGTTTCCTCGTGCATAGAATAAGCCAGCCCACGATGACACGCTATTGGCTCAGCTGTGCACCAACACAGAGCCCAATTGGGTTAACAAAACAATGGTGAGAGAAAGAACAGAGAAAAACAATACTGAACGAGGCATCTACTTCTGTTTGTTTTAACGCTATTGTCATCCAAAACATTTAAAAGTTTTAAAAGTAAATGGAAAAGTCATCTACCTCCGCAAAGCCATCTTTATTATGGGGGTTCAGGGGCTGCGTAGCTATGTACGGAACGATTTTTTAAAGCTGAAAATTTATCATTTTCAAATGCACAGTGTCTATGTAAACCATTATATATTTTATAATGACATTATAATTATACATGTAGCTTACATTAATATGTTATTACGATTAATAGAATTACGATTACTGTAGGCTAATATATGTTGCAGGGCATTCAGTTACTTTTGAAAGGACAATAATAAAGTGTCATTGATAACACAAGTGTTTGTGTATTTCATAAGACTTTAACTTTGCCAGCTATATAAAAAAAATCTAGCATTTCCTCAAGTTTTACCACTGCTTTTTAGTGACAATCGATATGCATGGGACATTGGTGATGACAGTGATGGCCATACCACACCCACTCCCCTCCCTTCTTTCACATCCACGCCCATTTAAGGCCCCGTTTACATGAAGGGAAAACGCAGAAATGTCCCTGCGGATTGGCCTCTCGTTTACACGAAAACCCCGTTTTTATCACAGAAAATGATTATTTCTAAAAACTCCAGCCAAAGTGGAGATTTCTGAAAACGCCAGTTATGTGTCATGTGAACTGGGAGAAACGGCGTTTTAGGTTCTGTCTTGTCAATTCTGAGGATTCTGATTGGCTTGCATGGCTTTATCCTTAAGCCCTACACTGCCGCCAATAGGTTTGGCATAGTTATGATGGCTCTCGAAGGTGTATTTATGCGGGTGTGCGGACAATGTTATTTTTGAAAACGAAGAGGGGGAAAATATTCGTTTTGCTGGATATTTGAAAATACCCGGCTTTGTGTAAACGTGGCGTAAGTTGCATTTTTCAAAAAGATTTTGAGCTAGACTTGAGCTGAAAGAGGGGGGTTTCATGACCCATAATGTGTAGAAAAAAAACATTCTTTTTTTAATTAAACGTGCAGGATAAGTCGAAGGGCCGTGAGAGAATGGCTCGAGGCCGGTGGCGTGATTGCTGATGAGTGACACATGCGCAATGCACCAGTCTCGAGCCATTCTCTCACGGCCCTCTGCCTCGTCCTGTTCACCACAAAGTCCACCCCCTTGGAAATGAATATAGTAACACCGGCAGCATGTTCATGTAACTTTGTCTCTTCAGATCGCTTTTTTTCATGAGGAGGATATGGAAAAAACTATAAAATACATAAGTTTTTGGTTGCAGACGTTGGATTTTGGTTGGAAGCACACTAGCTCAAAGATAACAGTATGGCTAACATATTTATACTAAAAGCCAAAAAACTTTAAACAGGGAGGGCACTATTTGAGGGAACAGCCATTTGGGTGTACGAAACCATTGCGGACGTTATTAAGTGCACTTATTCAATCTCACATTCAATCCCACTAATGGAACTGTCTTCTAGAAATAAATTTTATATTGATATGAGGGTGCAGGCATAGATTCAGAGGCATAAGGTACATGCAACACTGCAACAGTAAAAAAAAAATGCATTGACATTTACTTTTTACTTCTGATACTTAAATGTCCCGTTCTTCATGTTTTTTTGAAGCTTTGATTGTGTTTACAGTGTACAATATAATGTGTTCATGTTTCCGCGTGTAAAAAAAACAGTATTTTTCACAAAATTTACTCTCTATACCTCTGTTTTCACTCTCCAAAAAATGGGCCGATGACTTCCTTGCTCTATGAAGTCCATCCTTCAGAAATACGTAACGAGTTTTAACTTGTAACAGAGTAATATTTGAGCAGTAGTATCTGTACTTTCACTCAAGTAAGGAAGTACTTTGTCCACCTCTGAGTCCAGTGTATAAAATAGCCATATACTGTACATAATTCCGTGCCAATGCATGAAAGCTACTAAAAATCTGAGTTGATGCACCCTTATCTGTATTTCTCTTACAGTCTATTTATGTTACCTCTCTCTTCTCTTCTTCTTCCTACTGATTTATGACCTTTTCTTTCTGCTGAAAATAACAAGTGTCTTCAAAATGTCTTTCTTGGATGGGTCAGGTCTTCGAATGCTTAAGTTTAAAAGATTCATTTTGAGCAATACAAGTATAACCCCCATTCTTCCAAGTTTATGAAAATGACCGATACAGAGTGAATTGTGGCGGTGTGAATGTATCCAAGGGTGTGTATCTAGGGTGAAATTGTGTGATTAAGATTTATCAGAGTGGGAAGTGAATGTTGGACAGAGGTGAGGTTGCTGACACGATTTGTCGAAACAGGAAATCGGCACACTTCAAAAAACTCAAATGACATTGAAAGGGGATATTTGACATTGGTAAAACACCAGCACTCTTAGGTCATTTAAGCATGACCTAAGATGCTACAAAAAAAAAAAAAAAACATGTAGAATTGGGAAAAGTATCAAATCATTAGGTTCATATATTTTTATTCATAATTTCAAATGCACAGTTTCAACAAAAACAATAAATTCAGTGATTCAATTAAAATAGCACAGTGTTCAGGTGCATGTAATAATTTGCTGGGTAACCATGACGTTGCATTTGGGTTGAAACAATGTCCACAGAAAGCAGCCCTCTGTACTACAGGACATTACGGCACTGCCCCCAAAGGGAGGTGCATGTACAAAGTTAGGGAAAGGAGAGGAGGAGCTCAATGAGCAGGTCAAAAGTAAAACAGCAGAAATACATAGTAGAAACAGAAGAAGCAGAACAGACAAAGAGAAAAGAGAGGAAGACATGGCTGAAAAAGACATGACCACAGAAGGACCGGTGGACACTAAACCCGGCCAGGCTGAGTGGAAGGTAGGAGAGTGTTGAGAGATTTGTTTCTCTTTTAAAAAGACTGCAGCTAAATATTCATGTGTCTTTTTACATTGAATAAAAAAAAAAAAAAAAAAACGATTTTTAGAATTAATGTGGGTCTTGGTGGAGCTGTGTTCTCTGTGTCAGTATTTAATAGCTTGTTAAATGCATTTACAACATCTGAATGTTAGTTCAGATCAATGTTCCTGTGGTTGATAGCATGCAGACTGATAGTAACCAGGTGTTCGCTGCACTTTGTGATACCAGGCCTGCATCTTCTGTATGGTGGTCACCCTGTTTACACAGAACGACAGAAAGATGTAAAAGGGGTTTTGTAGATTTTAGATGCATTTAAACATGCTAGAATGTAGCCAACAGAATATCATTTGAAAGCAGCCACCTGGCTTGAAAGAACTACGTGAGGATTATTTAACATAGGAAATAGCTTGATAATTGGTTGTGACTTCCTGAAGAAAAGAAATCCCCCCCCCCCCCAAAAAAAAAAACAATTTAAAATGTAAATGTTTTCTGTAATGTTTTTATTATTTTGTGGTTTCCATTGTGCTGAAGAGTGGTGCTTGTGCTAAGGCTATGCACTGATATGGAGTAAGTTTTTTGATTCAGTGAGATTATAACAATTATACTAAAGATTCTTTTGTTTATTCTATAAATTACATATAATAATAAATAAAACTTTGTTAACGTTTATTTTAATTGTCTTAATTAAATTAAAATTTACACAAAATTAGTTCTGTACAATAAGAATGAAACAAGTTCTTTCAAACAATGTTTTGTTAGGAACTTAAATGAATAAAGTTGGCTTGTGTCATCTAACCAACAGTAATGCATGTTGCTAAAGTTCTTATTTTTTCTGACCTTTTTGCTGTTACAGCAATTCCAATGCCCTATAACTGATCGACGCTTTCCCAGGGAAGATATGAAGCAGATATGGAAGGAGTGTCAGAACGAGAGCTTCTGGTATCGAGGTAAAGAAATATGTACTCATTTATATTATCCATTAAAGTGATAGTTCATCCACAATTAAAATGCCATCCTCATTAACATTCATGTTCCTTCAAACTTGTATTACTTTCTTTTTTCTTTGAAACACATAATAGGATATTTAGAACACATTTAGTAGCCTAGCAGGGAACATATGGGAAACAAAAACAGACATTTTTCTAAATCTAGTGAAAGCTGTGAATTTAAGTTGGGTGAACTTTTAATGGAAATAGACCTGATATGATGTTTCTTTTCAGTTCACTTACACAATTTGTATAATGTCTTAGGTGATGGGTAGCATCCTTTAAAAAAAAGTCAAAATATATGGAAGAGGTTCCACTCTGAATGATCTTCACAGCTTATTTGCTTTAGTAAAAAGGGATTTGACAGGTACTGTATTTTCAAGAGTGTTTGTCCAAAACAAGAGCCAATGGAGTAAAACAGTGGTGCATTTATTATCCAGTGCTTATGTTTTGAAGATGGTTTAACCCCAGCACTGTTTGTTTTGAGGGAAACATAAACCTCAAGATTAGTCTGACTCTGCCATTGTTTGCCGCTGACAGTGATCTGTGACCCAGTTCTCCAATGAGACCAAATATTCATTAGAAGGTAAAAATTTAAGATATGAGATATTGATCGGTATACTGTAGCTTCCTTTTCCAACTCCCAGTGGGGAGTTGTCCAGTTTCCTTTTCCAAAAATGGATGTTGGAACCAT